TCCTGGGCAAGGCACACTGGCTAAGACTCCCAGTTGCACCCTCAACCACCTGGCCTGAGCCCAGGTCGCATACGGGACAGTCCCAGCTACAGCGGGCGAGGCCCTCGACCTCAGGCCTGGGCTCTTTGTGAGAAGGCTGAGTGGCCTCAGGACCATGCTTGTCTACGCAGCCTGCAGCTGCTTTCATGCTGGCATAGCAGGGCAGCCGTGTGAAGCCCACACGGCCCTCCCTAGCCGGCAGAGAAAGCCTCCGCCAGCCTTTGTTTCCTGCACTTGCATCCTGCCCCAACAACACTCCTTGGAGGTGGAGGAGCCTTGGGAAATGTGACCTGCCCCAGGACCCACAGGCGGAACCCTGCCAGCTCAGGTCACTGCCACCACCCGAGATGCAGTGGGAAAGCAAGACTCCCTGGGCCTTATAGGGACTATCCAGATAAATCCCGTCCTTAGAGGATCCAAATCCTCTGGGCCACGGCACAGGTGACAAGGAGCTCACAGCAGCCAAAGGTCCAACAATTCCTCGCCCCTCCAGTAACCTGTGTGGCTCAGAGTGTAGGACTCACCCAGCAGCAGCGGTGCTCTGGGCCTAGGGGACAGCGGCCCTGCCAGAGGCAGCAGAGAAGGACCAGACTCCATGCCCAGGGAGCCAGGCTGCATATCTTCCCAACAGGCTGCACCAGAGCACTTTGGGGTCCAAGCAGCACTAGTGTCGCCATTAAAATGCAAGCAGCCTCCTGGAAGTCACTAAAAAGGAGCTTATCAAATGTCTCCAGCCAGATGAAGTCACCTTGCAGTGCTCGTCGGGCAAAAGAAAATTGTTCTTAGAAAGACTCATCGGCCCCAGGAAGGTAAAGCCTCAGAGGGTTTCCCTCTCTTGCACCAGCCGTCCTGTGCCCATCCTCAAGGGCGTGGTGGTGAGCCCTCTCAGGTAACACAGCCTGGCCCCCGCCCAGCAGGTCATCGGCCCTGAAGGAGGTCCTGCCTGCCAGGCCTCCAGAGCTTGAGTGCAGCCGGGACACCGCAGGGGACATGTGTGGGACCCTGGCTGCTGCGGAGGCAGGCCCCGGAGCTTAGAGCAGGTAGAGTGGGAGCCCGAGTCCAGGGCAAAGCTCTAAGTTCACATGGTGTCACCAAATGAAAGCCTTGTCCGTGGGGTTTCCCACGGAGACAACCACAGGGACCTGAGGGCAGGACGCCGAGCCTAGGAGCTTTAAGCAGACAGTGGGGAGAGTGCCTGCATCTGGTCCCCACCTGGCGGGGGCCCCTAGAGTCTGGAGCTCCTCAAAAGAGCCCCCAAGCTGCCTTCCTGACTTCACAAAGTCACCCTAAGCCTATATGGGGGAAAGAAGGGGTAGGTGGCTGCACTTTGAGAGAAGCCCCCACATCCCAGTGATCAGCACCATGCCAGGGATCAGTACAGGGACAGCAGCCACACCGAGGAGCTCCTGCTGCCAACAAACTCTGTCCTCACAAATTCAGAAGCCCAGGTAAAGTACTCCAGGTACTCCTGGGTATTCACCCGGCTCACTCAGCTGCCCACCAACTGCCAAGAAGGGGGAGCCCAGCTGCTGTGGCAGTGGGAGCCCCGCCTTGCCATGCCCCAGCCCCCATGCCGGAAGGCAGCCTGGCAGGTTCGCACAGTCGCCTCAAGCCATGCCCTTTGCTCGGTCCTCCACTCAGGGCTCTGCCTCGCTCCCCACACAGGCCCCCTACAGCACCTGCTACAACCACATCACCCACACTGAGGCATGTGCGTTCTGCCTCATGCAGGCTGGCACTGGAAGGACAGCCCTTCTCCGTCCTGCGTCTTGGGCATGCAGCCCTAGGTCACCAGTACACAGCAGGCATTCTACATGCATCCTCTGGGCAGCATGTTCGCATCGGCGGGACAAGGCCGCTGGGCAGAGGCAGAGGCAGAGGCAGAGGCAGCTCCTAGGCCCACGTCTCCACCAGCTATACCCAGGGCTGCACTGCTGGCCAGGCCCCGCTGGTCGGCTCCTCAGAGCTCAGCTACGGAGCTCTTGCTTTACTCCCTGGCTCTGACCTTCAAACTAACAGCTGACTTCTGAATTAACCAAAGAACAAGAGAAATGTGCCAATCAATACCCTGCTCCTCTGCCCAAGGTCGGTGCTGATCCTGCTGGGTGGAGAAGGAAGTCACCCCCACTAGGAGCACCCGTGACGACGAAGCCCCACGCACACCTCCTCCCTTGATAGGCAGTGGGGCTCTACCCACTGCTTACAAGGACACTTGCTTTCACCACAGCCACCTGGCCTAAGACAGAGCAACAAAAGCCCTGCGGCTGACCGTGGAAAACACTAGGGGAGCAGTACTGGGTGTACCGGAAGGGCCCTGCTCCCAGGCGGCAGGCTCACGGAGCATCTGTCCTGGACGAGGGCTGCTCCTTGACCTGAGGAAACAGTGGCACTCCAGCAGAGCCTCTGTGCAGCTGCGGTCCAGGGACCACCACGGCCACCCAGCCCAAGGCTGTCCCCGTCCAATGGGGTTCTCCCACACAGGCAGAAGAAGTGGCCCCGAGCCAGCACCTGGGAGCTGGGCACAGTGAGGACAGGGCAGACTGGGCCAGGTGAGCCTGCACCAACAGAGCTCACCTGCAGCACTGACAGCACACAGCGATGTCCCGCCCAGCCAGACCCTCCTCTCGGACCCAGAGGAGCACGCGCAGCTCTGACCACACTACTCGGGCTCAGCGCGGCACAGCTGCTCGACCCCAAGCACCCTGCATCTGTTCCTGTCGATCCCACACGCACTCTGCTCCACTCCCTTGAGGCCAAGAACCAGCCTGCAGGCAAGAGGGTACGAATCATGGCAAAGAAAACCTGACAGCAGGGCCCAACTGAAGTGGGAGGACAACACCTGGGAGAAAGGCCCCCGGGGACCCAAGATGCCTTCCCATGCGGCAATGGTCACGGAGGGGCTCAAGCGAAGCTGGCACCCATGTTCCATGGAGGTCCTCGGAGGTAACTCTGCTGCCAGACTCTCCTGGGAGCTGGGACCACTGCACCGGCGCCACTCCTGTGTGGACCCCGCAAAGCCCCAGGGCCAACATCCCAGTAACACACTTCATTCAGCTATCTAGCCCGTGCTCGGGACAGGGTAAGCAAGGGCTTAACATCCTCTGTGGACACATGCCGTAAGGGGTTAAAAACCTACTGAAGCCTGTAATGGCCCAGCTAATAAACACCCCAGTTTAGGGGAGAGTAATCACCCGACTGCTATCCTACAATTACTATGCATTTCATGGCCAAAAGATGCGATACGATTTCATGGTTACTTGGCCCTGTAAAACAGAAATACCCCCAATTTTTAAGATATGAAAAGGCTTACGACCAGGGTACTTTCGTTCATGAAGGAGACCATGGGACAAAGGAGTCAATTCATGACAAAAATTAATTTCAGGGAAATTAACTCCATAAAGAGGCCACGACTATACTCAAAGCTTAAATTCCCCGTAGGAGTTTCAGGGAAGCGGCGCGGCCAATGGACGAGCCAACTGGTCTTCAGCTCCTCCAAGTGTGATTGGCTTAATGCCTCATTTATCCACAATGGGGACGGCATTACAAGAACTTGCGTTTGGTGAGTTCTTGAATAACCTACCAATCACAGACATGGAAGGCATTTGCAATTTACAGGATATTAAGTTTTTTTTCCTGCGATCCTACAGCCTGCCGATCAATGGCACTAGACTGACGGCCACCATAACCAAATAGCCCCAGGTAAGACCTTATGTCGTAGCTAATGACACTGGGCACAAATTCAACAGCTGCCAAGCACAAAGACAGGCGAAGCCCACTGAGCGGTAATCACTTCTGTGAGCAACATTAGACAGGACAAGTGGCAAAACATCTAAACACAAAACTCAGAGCCACAAAACACCCATGGCCACCATGGGCACAGGACCAGCAGAAAGGGTCAGGAGCAAAGCTCTGGGCTACTGCCTGAGATGCCCCTCAGACAACAGAATAAAAGACTGCAGCCTGGCAGTACCCTGTCCTCTGTAGGGTTTACGTCATCCTAGCCCCCGGCCCTCAGGGAAGGTGTACCAGGAGGACTGCACAGGATCAGCTGCCCTAATGTCTCCTGCCTCCCACATCCCTCTTCATAGATGCACAAAACCCAGCACTGGAGCATGGCCCGGCACACGGGACTCACACTGCCTTACACAAGGCCTGGAGCTCGGAGCCCACACCTGGCTCCCAGCACCGCCTCCCAGGCAGCACCCTTGCAGAGCCTGAAGCCCAGGCCTGACTGTGCTCCTGCTGGGCGGGGAACGCCGCCTCTCCATGTGCGAGGAGCTGAGCACTGCAGGGGTCTGACTCCGACCCCAGGCAACGTGTCCACTGCTCGAAAGCAAGGACGAAAGCTGGCACCTAAAGCCCACAGCACGGCCCAGCTTCTACGCAAATCTTGCACAAAGTGAAAAGACGTGCGAACAAGCAACACATACTAGAGGGAACAGAGGTGGTTTGTTCCGGAAAACTCAATCTCCTCAAGGGATGAATTTCATCAAGACTGGTGGAAGGTAGAACATCTCATAATTCACTGCATCCACCTGCAACGTCTCAGGTCATTTCGTAACTCAGAACACAGACAGTGTGTGAGGCCTGAGCGTGAGGTTAGGGCACAAGGAGCCCAAACGCGTGGAGCTCCAAGCATTCCTCACCCTACTCCTCGGACTGGGCTCGGATGGAAACCGCTGGTGAGCAATGGGGACACAGTCGCCACCCAGACAGGTGAGATTCAGAGGCAAAGAGAACGACATCAAGTCCCTTTCCCTGGCCTCCACATGGTCAGGTGACAAGGAGACCAAACACAGACTTGCAAAGGACCATGTCTGAACTGAGAGGATACTTTGAAGGTGAAATCAAATGCAGACAGTGGCAGAGCAGACATCGCCAGGAGGGCCTGGGGTGGGAGAGGACAGGGCTCATCTGCAGGGGTACGGGGAGGCCGCACCCCACTGCTGAGCAGTGCTCACCTGGTAGGTGTCCCACAGGCGGACGGTACAGCGCAGCGGCAGCTCCCGCATGAGCAGGTTGTTCATCCAGCGGAAGGCAAACTGCAGGTAGCGCACCTCGTGCTGGTCCAGGTGCTGGTGGACAGGTTCTGCATGGAGCAAACACAGCCGCGGTGTCAGGGAACCTCTAGCACCCAGGGCACCAGGTCACTTGTCCCCGAGCCTCTGTGCCCCCCTCAGAACCCCACCTCGTCACCGGCACAGCCAAGGGGAGAAAACCAATCCTCTTACTGAAGACTTCGGAGTTCACTCCCATTTAAGGGAATGAGCAATGGGGAAGACAGTAATCAGGACAGGTGGGCAATGGGTTAGAACTCTGGGGACCCTAAAGATTGCTGGCCCAGCACAGCCAGGTGTCGCTGACATCGCTCCCAGAAGCTTGAGCCCACCTTGGTCCATGGTCTCTCTTCTCGCCAGGCCACAATGGGTAACTCTTAAGGTCTACATCTAAGATCCCCAGTTCTACCTCAGCCTCCTCTGCTGAGCTGTGCACACCTGCAGAGCCCAGAGGTGCCCAGGTCCCCACACTCCTACAAGCACTTCCAGGGGCTCGGGTTGCGGCAGCCAGGTGTCACCCAACCCCAGCCTTCTGCCTGTGCAGGGCCAGGAAGGATGGGTGCCATCTCATAAAAATAAGCCAGTAGGTCTTAGTTGCTGCAGGCCACTGATCTGGATGTGGTTTTC